AATGTAATAACATTGATGCAAAATGTAATAAAATTTTCAACGCAGAATGTAATGATCTTTCGACGCAAATTGTAATAACTTTTCTAACGCATAATGTAATAACGCAAAATGTAATAATTTCCGAATAACGACTTGCATGCTATTTCAAAATCGGTATTGTTGCTCAGTCATCGGTAGCGAATTCAGATTTTCAATTAAATTATAAACTATTATTATTGTTGATATTAATATTAATATTATTAATAATATTAATATTACTATTAATATTGGCTATTATTATTATTATTATTATTGCTAATATTACAATGGAACAGTTGAAATGAGAAGATGTAATCATCTTTAAGGAACCGAATGGGACGTTTGTTTCCGCTGAACGTAATACAAGTCCCAATACAGAAGTAATATATTATGTAGCTCTAACTTCTATTGAATTATTGCACATTTTCTGTTAGATGTCTAAAGCTACAAAAGACAGAATAGTTAGATTGAAAATTCGGGAAATGATTCTATAGGTGAAATGGGTGACTACTGGTGTGAGTATTTCCCTGACTACTCAAACAAATAAAACGCTATGAGTAGCTATGAAATTTTCGTTGAACATTAGCTCAGAGTGCAAGGGTAGAGCTAATTTAATGTTATTTATGTACATACGGAACCAGAACACCATTTATTATCTTCAAAGTAAGGAACGGAACAATAACCGTTTTTATTCGCTGACATTTAGGAATCGATTATAAAATACACTAAACCATGCAACTCAAGGCTCTCATACGGCAAAAATATAATCCTGTTCACAGCATCACATTTTTCCCTCATATAATGCAAGATGGTTAACGAAAAAAGAGAAATAGCGTATAATATGATAATTATGATTGTTACATAGGAAAACAGAAACGGTGATTAAATATGAACCGACGAGTTGTAGCCTCAAAGGGCATTAAAGGTGGCTTTTTTGTTTCCAGTAGATATTGTAGTAAAGAACCATCCGTACCCTGCCCCGCGACCTATGGGGTTATGGAAGTTATACTACTACTTGAGAAATTTCATGTAGTAGTATAATAATAATAATAATAAATTTATATTATTACTATTATTAATATCAATATTGATAATAATAATAATAGTAATAATAATAATAATAATTCACATGAAGATCTGGATCAGCTACTGATGACTGAGCCACAATACCGATTTTGAAATAGCATCCACGTCGTTATTTCGGAAATTATTACATTTTGCGTTATTACATTATGCGTTAGAAAAGTTATTACAATTTGCGTCGAAAGATTATTACATTTTGCGTTGAAAATTTTATTACATTTTGCGTCAATGTTATTACATTTTGCGTTAGTATTACATTTTGCGGCGATTCTTATTACATTTTGCGTTAATATTACATTTTGCGGCGATTATTACATTTTGCGGCGTAACAAGGCCTAATCTACTGTGATCAAGAGCCATCATGGCTCTTAAATGTGATCGAAGATGATTGCTATTTTTTGGGTGTACATATAAGGCTATCAACTCGATGTAAGATTTTTTTTCACTCTAAAATCACTTAGCCTTAGCTTTCCCTAAAAAGTCACATATGTGCCCTTAAGTTAACCGATTTGTAGATTACAGGTTTATTGTTTGATCTAAATTATAAATTTATTAATGGGAGCTTCGCTTTTAGCCCTGGCTAAATCTATATATTAGAAAAGTAACACATTTCTCTAAATTTTTGGCCGGAAACTGTGATTCTGCAAGAGATTTTTAGCAACACTTGCTGTTGATTTTTAACCTCATGAGCAACTGATAAGAAGACTTCTTGTTGAGAATGGCGCGAAACTCAACTATAAAACTTGCCATGTGGTTCTGGTAATTAACTCATATTGCATCTGTCTTACTGCGAGCAACTTGTATTTGTTACTAAAATTAATTATTCAAAGGCAGATTTTCTCGTGTTTATTTCACTGGTGGTGATTGTCGTAGCAGTGCACCATCTTGGCTGAAACCTTGCAGCCCCAACTGGTAAAGCAGGCGAAAAAGGCAACAAAACAAAAATTCCTGTACACAAAGATCACCAGCAAACGATGAACTCCACAAGCGGTCACACTACACATGACATGGGGGAAGATAATGATCGGCCAGGGTATCCTTTTTTTTGGATTCATGGAAAGATAGGTGCTCCAGAAATGTTAACAGTACAGAACCCAATTGAAGAAGAATTAAAGTCATTCGCTTAACTGTCTGCAAATTCACTGTCGATTGCATCAAAAGAAGACCATGCAGCCGAAAAGGATCTACAACTTTAAGAGCCAATTTTTCCTGTTACCGGTGCAGTTAATGCAGGAAAGGTAACATAATGATTGTGTAATGCCAATGTTACTTTTAAGTTACCTTGTATTTTGTACCATTTTTTCAAAAGTAACAATATTAAAGTAAAAGTACGTTTTACATGTTTTAATCGTAAGAAAGGAAACTCCATGCAAACGATTTGAGCCAGGCTGCTTAACACTGCAAGGAGGGGCAGGTAAGGTAAGCATCAAATCGGGTATGGACAATATAGGGAGAGCAGAAGATGATTACTTTAAACATTGCCAGTGAAGGCGTTGGTTAGAGTGGATGCAACAAAAATCAATACGTCTAATCAAAGTACTTCTTTGTATATTAGTCTGTTTCATTATTCCTTGACCATCATTATCTTAGATTGCCCAACACATTCATAGTACCACAACACTGGGCAACTTCCCCAATGCAGGAAATTATGTATGTTTTTAGAGTACAAAAAAGACTCATAATGATAGATCAAACATCGTAATGTTAGCTTCTATTTCTTCTGCACCTGGTAGAGGCATCTCAGGTAACATCATGGCAGGAGAATGGCTTTTTAAGTTCCATGAATTGAGACCTTTTCTGATCGCCTTAAAGTCACTTGAAACAAAGAATTTATCATCGTCTATATTCTTGTGGCATAAGGATTGGCCAAGGATACCAAAAAAGGTGTTGTAACATTAAACATTCTCTCTCCTCCTTAAGGACCCAAACAATGATGGGTTGACTTGTGAACCAGTGCTATTGACCAAGTCATGGATTGATACTTCCAAAATATCACCTGTGAAAAGCCTAAAATGTTCGCTTGCCATGAATTCCCCAGGCCTATAAAATTGCTTGGTGAATACTGTGTGCCAGATGACTTTTGGGTCACGTGATGGTCCAAAGATCATGCGCTAAAACTGACTGAAGATGTTTCTCCCGACGAAGACGCCATCTTCTTGCTGGCTCGAATTATTTGTAAAATTTGTGTGATCACAGGATAATTTTCCTTCTGCTAAGTCCTAAGCACTGCTTTTGCCTTATGAGTTCATAGTATCTGTCTTTCGTCTCATTGTGGTTCGGCAAACAGTTCATTAAAGGCGTGTGACCGCAAAGTACAAAAACATGACAGATTAGTGCCACTGTTAATTGATAGCGAGTCAAGTTTGACCAAAGAGACCGAAAATTGAAACCTTGTCCCTGTGGTAAATTTCAAAGTCATTTATATATCGTGATGGACACAAGTCTTAGGCTACACCCTGCACCAAATCTTTCAAATTTCTAAACACCAGTTCTTACAGTAAATATGGGTTTTGCTCTCCAAATGCTTAGTAAGCGTCTGGTGTTTAAAAGTATCACATACTTTAGCTAAAGATGAAGTTGACTGCATTGAGAAAACTTCACAGTATCTGCAGACCATCAATTCTTCATCTGAGTCCCATTCTAACCTGTTAAATTCGCTCAGTCAAGCCATCAAAAATTTATACACTTTTTTCTCTTCTCAACCTCTTTTTCGCAGACTGGCTGTTTGAAAGGAATCATTGTTATGCCAGTGGATATGTTGAACCAGAATGAAAATTAATCTTTAATGAATTTGTTAATAATGTGCAATGACTTACATTTAACTGGGATATGACTCAAAAACTTTCTTGGAAGAAAAAAGGGTCTTAAATCGCACTGTTTTTTTAAATACTTGACATTCTTGACCTTAGAACTGAACGTTTGACATGATCGCCCATTTCAAAAGAAGCACGTGTTTTATTTGTAGCATATTTGCATGGGTGAGAGTCTGAGATGGAGTAAACATCGAGTTTGTGGAATCTATTGGCAGAAAGGACGAATTAGACACACAGATAAAAGGAAAACGATGTAACTGTATCATTTAGAGCCTGGTTGTGGTATTTCTAGATTACTGTCACTTTCATTGCTTGAAGCTACTGTTTAACCTCTTACTGGTTGATGTACGTAGACTGGGAAGCAGGGAAGCAAGTCAGTCACACTGTGCTTTGGGTTTTATGGCGCACAGATGCGATTACACATGATCTTTTAGGTGCAAAACGAAAAATCCAATCACGTATGCAACCTGTTAGTCATTAACTTTGAACCATGACAGGCTTAGGCCGACAGAAAAAATTACGCAAATGAGCTTAGGGTGATTTGAAACCTCCTTTAGCTAATTATTAAGTGTAACTAAAGAACGCGTTTTTCTAGTTTAGGTGTCAGAGATATCGCCTCAGAGTGGCTCTCTAAAATATTCAGTTACGCATTTTTATACCTCTTAAGTCACAAGAGAGAAGCAAAAAGCCATTAAACACCATTCACCGGAAATTTTCCAGCAACTTTGTCCTGCATAGCTTGCGTGGCTCACACAATTCTCCACTGGGATAAATAGGCATCATAACTTAATTTGTCACTTTAGTGATTTACAACCTACATAAGTTTTATGTACTGGCATCTTCAACAATCCAAAGCAGAGTTTATTAGTGATACTACATCTTATTCATCTACACATACATTAAAGATCTCAGAGATAGTCCATGTCATTTCTTTTAAGATGATCAAGACAAAAAGACCTGGCAATAATAACAGTGACAAAAAAAAAGTGACAGATAAATTCTATTTATCGTTCATTTGAGCACATTCGGCAGTTACATTTACGATATAGTGCGGATTGTCCAAGATTGCCCATTTAGCAATTCTGAGGACTTTGCAGTTGCTGTTGGCAGCAACGCAAGAATGCTTAGCACAATTCTCCCTAAAGAAAAAACGTCAGATTGTATGGATTGCTGACCACTACCTGCTACTATTTGTAGTGAAATGTGAGGGTAGTGGCAGTTGTAAGATTCTTTGCTTGAAGCTGTTAAAGACATCCATGGTTTCGGATCAAGAAATGAAGTGAGCTGTTTCAAAGCCAATAATCACCGGGTTCCACGCTTCTCTACCACCACATTGTTTGATTTTAAGTCGTTGTGTAAAATTTGACAGGTGGACATGACTAAGCCCTTTGCAAAGTCCCTTTAATGTCTAACCACTCAGATTTCTCCAGTTTCTTTTTCTTTATATGGCCATGGACAAGGTCACACTTTTTCCTTTTTCTCCGCGAAACTGCATTACTACCATTAATTGTTCTCCCTTTATCACAGTTCCAAAAAGAAGTGGGAGGCCTCAATGATCTCCTAAATGGTTAACGGTCCATGCTTCTTGAAGTAGTTCATGCTTAACTTCACCCTTGACTTGTTTGAGCTCATCCTAAACTCCATTACTGCGACCAGTACACTCCTGTAATAAGCGTGGTAGCATATGCTGAAGGTTCCACAGCCTAGGGATTTTTCAGTGCACACAATATCCACCAGGTTGATTTCTTTTACGTCTGAGCTCTTATCCCAGTGTTTTGAGCAGGGAGGCTTTTCTCTTCTATGCTCACAAGTTTGCTTGATATCCAGGTCATCTTTTGGTTTTTGGTCATTGATCAGACCAGCCGGTTTCAAAGCTGCAGCGTTTTTCAGGGCTTTCTGTTGGCCTTTGTTCTTCCTCCACCTCCTTTTCACATCTTTCCTCACAGTCTTCATGTTATCTTTGTCTTTTATTTTCTTACGCTTATTTCTTGCCATCTCGTCCACAGGTAAATAAAAGATATACACAGTGAAATCTATTTACAATGAGAAAGAAAAAAAGGATCAAGACCTCTAGAACGTTGTTAAAAACATTCTGAAGATTTTTTCAAAGTGACCCCGAAATAATGAAGAGAAAAAATATAACCAAGTGTTTCAGCACACAGTGCTAAAAAAGCAGTTTACAGATTGGTAAGGACAACATCCTTAAGGAATTTTTGCGTGATTTCAATTCAGCAGTAAAAGGATGCATTGTTCTCTTGCTTTAAAGTCCACTACATGCAAACCACTTCTCCCTTTCCGGTTTACGCATTGCAACTCATGTCCAGCTATCTTCAGTACAAGAACTGCGCTGCTATGACACAGAAGTGCAAAGCATGCGGAAGCGAGCTCAATCAAATTGTTAACAAATTGTTAACGGTTTACAGTGGTGAAGGAATTAAACTTAACCTACTGTCAAGTCACCGGAAAGGAAGAAGACCCATAAACTATAGACAATGGCTTGTTGGTGTTGTGGATAGCATAAAATCTTAATTTCAGTTTTCCCTGGTTGGTGTGCGAGAAAAGTTCTGGCCACCAAATAATCTCAAATTATTGCGTTGCTCTTCCCTCTCCCCGCCCAGCAATGACCTACAATTGTATAGTGGGAGACTGACGGCCTTTTCCTCCTTCATTAGCTCTCGATTTCACTGCCTCTAAGGCTAATCTTTCAGTCAGTGGGTTACTAGTTTCTTCTTCCTCCACGTCTCCTGTGTACTTTTTTACATTTAGTGGTATTCTGCTGCAATTAGCCAAGGCAGTAACAATGTCTGACATGTGAAAGTCTCTATAATGGTGTTGGAGAGAGTAGTTGACGAAGAGAGTAATTAGTAAGTTTTCCAGAATAAACACAACTACATTTGAACTGATCCAACACGGTAAACATACATAAATGATCAGCGAGACATACATACTTTATTCACGTGACTAACACGTAGCTATAAAGCTAGTTTACAGGTCAGTCACAAAAACTAAAAATAAGCGTAAAAACTATATAAAAGGGCTTAAAATGATATGTAAAATTTTTAAATTGGTAAAACTGTGTACTATGAAAACCAGGTTAAATTGCGAACAAGGGTCAATAAACTTACAGCTATATAAAAGTGTTTAAAATGACAGTACATGTTAACTGTAATAAGATTATAAAATCTATATAATACTAAAATACTAAGAAAAACTAAGGTAAATTGGCGAAAGGGACTATAATTTTACAAGGTTGAGCTCCTTCAGTCCTCGTTTAAAACTGCGGTAACTATCAATATTTCTTAAATTATTGGGAATAGTGTTCCATAGTTGGGCAGCCTGGTATCTCCATGACTTGATCCCATCCTTTGTTGAATTTACTGTAGGGAATTTTAAAATAGCATCACCTCGTAAATTATAATTGGAATTACGTGCTGTCAATGACTGGGGAAATACTTGTAGGTGCGTTTCCATTCTTAATTGTTCCAAACCCTGTATTTAACATTTTTGCAAGTCTTTGATTTGCTAATGTGCTATATCCATTTTTAACAACTAGTGTCTCATTAGTAGAGATTTTGTCCCAATAAACGAGGCGGAGTGCCTGCTTGTTCAGTTTTCACACTGTTTTCAGCATAGAACATCTGCGTATCATCTGCATAGGTGGACAGTATAGTGGAATGTGTGTAAAATGCGAGCCATGCAAGTTGTGTGAGCCATGCAGGCCATTGAAGACTCATTGAAAAGAAAATTGAAAACAGTAATACGGAAAACATTAATTGAAAGGTAACCGTCGTAGATAAGTGTTCAACTCTAAAAACCGCGTAACCCTAACCCTAACCCTAATCCGTAAAATGAAAGCTTGACCCTAATGAGTGCTTAATCCTAATCTGTAAATTTGCAGTTTTTACTTGCTTTAACTTTATTTTTGCTTATGGCTCGCATGACTTGCATGTCTCGCTGCCTCACAGTTTGCCAGGACCTGGAAAAATGTAAAGAACAACATGTAGTTATAAAACATTAAAGATATTTATTTACAAGTAAAAGACCGAGGGTACAATCTTTTCTTTTCAAGAATAAAAACCACATTATGTAAAAGGAAGAAAAGTTGTTTGATTGGCGCCCGATACTAGTTACAGTACTAAATGTTAAGACGGTCAACACTGTGATTGTGCTCAGTGTAATGGCGTTTGATGATATAAAGTTACGGCAGCCTTTATAAATTGTCATTAGAGAAAGAATATAGAAGTAAACACTGTTCTTTAATTAGAGTTGATAACTCCTTTATGTTCTTGTGCAAGTTAAAAAGTTGTGCAAGCAATGGTCGTATGGTAAGTTCAATTTATGCAATGTCCGGGTGTGTGATATGTCCAGCATTGACAAGTGCAGTTGTAATATTCTCAGTAATAAGCCTGTTGACTGGCTCGGAAATTCGTTCTGCATATTCTTCTTGCATGCATGGAGCATCTTCTGAGCACTTTGACGGACATGAATTTCTGCAACACGGCCATACCTTTTAATTGTTTGGGTGCAGTGATCATATTATGGCTTCTGAACACTTCTCAAAGAGAACTTCTTGAAAGCTTGATAGGTAACCAGTCATCCTGGAAAGCATATGATGGTGGTGGAGGTGTCGATTCGATCTCTGTTGGCTGTGCTCTCATTTTCTCTGTAGCATGCTGAACAATTGTTTGAACGACTTCAGCAAACATTTCTTTCTGTGCAGGTAGATATATTTGACGTAGTGAACGGCTTTTTTGCAGCAACCTTCAGTAATTTGCCCTAGTGGGCTGTTTGTTTGATCCTCCTCCAGCGTGGCAGTGATGAAGTAGTTGATGGTACCTGTCGCGTACTCAGTGCAGCAGACATGGGATGTTGTGCGCTGGAGATCGGGAAGTGTCAACCACAGTATAGAATTCAACAGCACAAGTCGACTCGACAGCATTTAATTTGAGCACCAACTCGTCTGAATTATTGTACACATGCGGTGAAAACTAAAAGGGGAAATTATAATGTACAAGATCAAAAAAGGGGCTAAGAATAATTACAAAAGAAGCAAAATTGAAAGGAAAATGAAAACTAAATACAATAAGCTAAAACTTACGTCTGATCCTGTCTAAAGGGCCAAAGAAACTCCAACTTTACGTAACTCCGAAAAAGATAAAACTGCTCTGAAAACTCCAATGTTGCTCCGTAGATCTCCTAACTCCAACTCCACAAAAACTTAAGGGGCGTTCTCTGATAAGGGTACAATTCATGTGTACAGTTGTGAAACCTGTTAAAAAACAGGAATGGCTAGCTACGTAATTGATTCAAACTGTGAACAATATTACATGAAAACGGGGCGTAAAAAACTCGATGAATGAAACAGAACAGAAACGTATGTTATTTAAATCAAAACAAAACTAAGCTTAATTATGTAATCAAGTTCTCTTTGTTTAAATGTTCATTGTTCATCACAGTACCCAATTCCGCAGTAGTGATGTCTGTGTTGTTTTTTATTTGAATACATCCAGCGTGACCTTCTTATTTGACTACCATTAGAATATAATGACATCAATTGATGTGACACTGTGTATACTCACATAGTTTGATTGTATTTTCTGTCAGTGTGTAACTACAATATTGTCTAAATATTGTAACTGCATTGATTTATCACTCGCAGTGGTGGTTTCATGCTGATAGTAGTTCCTGAACAAAACAGAGAAGTAGCAACAGTGGTTGATTTCAGAGAGGTTGCACCAATGGCTGCTTCTAAGAACATGTTTCATGGAAATAAGTCACTTGCTAGTTGGGTAAGAAAAAAATGGTGAATGTTAATGTTGGCATCAACTAGATTCATGATTACCTTTAAAAGAGCTTAGCTTAATTAGATTTTGGTGGTACTTTTCCGTTTTAGATTGCAATATTGACCTCGTTCACATGATTGGTTTTAAGGCACTTATGTAGCTGTGCGGTGGCAGGATCCAATGTATAAGATCTGGTGACGTTCTTGTGGGCAGTGTAGATTGCTGTGAAGAGTGACACGAAATCTTGTAGGGGAAGGTCTGCGAGATAATGGGTTCCTTCTTCTTGTCCCAGTGACCGCTTCTGCGCGTTTAGAACAGTAATTAAGAAGTGATCTAGAAAACCATGGTCTTTGTCCATTCTAAAAATAAGAATCGCTTCATTTTGGATCCTTCCCTAGTACGGAGAACGCGGTGTAGGAATCATTTTCTTGTGTAGCCTCTGTCGCTAAATGGTAGGATGTGGATTCTCCACTCCATAGTTTGCATAGCAGCTGTATGTCACTTGTCGTTGAGTCTTGCTCTATCCGTGCTTTATGAAGGATATTAAAGAGGATATTGTTAGCGTAATTAAGTAGTGGCAATACGGAAATCTTTGCTATGAGCCAAGCATCGATCATTTGCTTCAAGGAGTGGCTGAGAAGATGAGACACAATTGGGGTATTATACAAAGTATTGGCTTTTTTATTGCTACCACTGAAAGTTTTTCAAACCATCGGATGGGACTCAGAAACGTATGTTTATAAAAACTAAACGTATTACGCTAGCTTTTTATGGGAGTTACAAGAGCTTACATGCTTGTCTGCATGATCAAAACAGTCAAGGAAACTTCGCTTGGTGGTGAGACCAAGGAATCTACTGGCAAGCCGATGAGCCATGGAGCTATTTGAATAATATACCTTGGAATCGACTGGTGAGCCAACGAACCATTTGAATGATATACCTTTGAATCAAATGGCGTGTCAACGACCACTCCAATATGAGTAGCTAGAAAAGTGGCCCTGTAATCTTTAGTTAAGGCAAGATCTAGCTCTCCCCTTTTTCGTTTTTAATTCATCTGTTTGGTCCTTGCTATAATCAGATGTGATGTCAGTGGAAGATCGCCAGACGGAAATGTTCTCACCTCTCTCCCCAGGATCAAGGTACTTGAAAACAGCCATAAAAGCTTCCCAGGTTTGGAAGCCAGAATAAAAAGCAGCATTGGAATCTTTTGATTCTAAGTTTTCAATGGTAAACAGTCTCTTATTATGGGCATCATTCTGCCGCTGGGTATCTTGAAGCCGACGTGTAAGTTCATCAATTTCTTGTTCTAGCTTACCAATCCTTTTGTTATTGTTGTTAATGATTTCCGTCAAGTAAGCTTCCTGTTCGGTCAAATCAGTTTGTGTTTCTATGTAATTAAATTTTGTGCTAAATCCAATACATCTGCAACATTTCATTTGATAATTCCTCCATGACAACAACTGAAGAAGACATTTTCCATGATGCTTTTAGCGAAGCGGTCTCTTCAAAGTATCTTTGCATCGGCTCCTTTCTTTTGCGTGGTGATGTTCGAATCCACAGAATAACAGGGGGAACAACTCCGTGTTTTACTTCATTTTTCCCAGAAAAAGATTTTTTAATATCGCCTTACCTGAAATGTTGTGAGCACCCCCTTGAAGTATTTTCCTTCTTCTCTATGGTGTTCAATCCCCGCCAAAAATCAACTTGAGTCCTCAACATTCAACTTGACCCGCTAACATTAAACTATAGCACTCAACTTTCAACTTCACGTTTCAACATTCAAAGTTAATAATTCAACTTTAACTCCCAAAAGTCAACTTGCCGAAGTGCCTGATGAGATCGTTAATACAGTGAGAGGTTTGTACGAGAGTGTAGCAAGTGATGGATATGCAACCGCAATATTTTGCATTGGGACCCGGGGAAGGCCCTCTTATGAAATACCGAGGGAACAACTGTCTTTCTTATTGGACCAAGGGTTCAAGGTATCGCAAGTCAGCGTTATGCTGGGAGTTGGTCTGAGGACTGTCGAGAGGAGAATGACGGCTTTTGGACTGAGTGTTTCAGGTCATATTTAGATTTTTCTTTTGTTAGAGAGGGGTTTTAGACAAGAATCGCCGAAAGGTGATTTTAACTGGGATGTCAAAGGCAATATTTCTGGGCGAGGGGTGGCTGTATAAACAGTCAAGCCACCACAAAACCTTGTCGCTGACCATTGCGTGACATAACATCTCAAGTGAGAGTTTAAAAACATAAACTCATTTGAACATTGTACCCTTTTGGCAGACTTTCGTAACAAGAAAAATGAGTACCATTTATTAGTAGGGGCTCTATAGTAACTTTTCAAATTCCACCATTATGAATAAAAGTAAGGAAATTTATTAGCCATTCCAAGTGGGAAATGTTTGTGTTTGAAATAAGACACAATAATGCTCCTGGAAACGTTCAAGATCTCTTTCAAGATATTTCTGATGTTCATTCTTATAATACTCGATCCTCTGCCTCTAATAACTTTTACACACAAAGTTCCAGACTCTCAATTCAAGTGAATTCATTTTCTAGAATCAGAACAAAAATATGGAATGAAATGCCGTTATCTTTAAGAAAACTTTCAAAAAATGCCTTTAAGAGGAAAATAAAACAAACGCTTTTTGAGATCCTAGCTTCAGAAGACTGTTATATTGATCTCCCAGAAATCGTTCAAACAGTTAAGCTGAATTTATTTTCCTCTCACTTGATATGTAATCATTAATATCGTTTAGTTTATCAGTAGTCTCTTGTCATAACTGTTATCATTTATCATTAGTAATACCATTAGTTTATCAGTAGTCTCTAGTCATTGTTGCCAATTTTAGTTTCTTTAGTTCTCTTGTTACTTTTAGCTGTATTTAGTTTATTTTCTGTAAACATGACCCGCCTAGATTAGATTAGCTACCCGCAGGCATGTTATTGTACTCTTACTTCAAAACACAATAAAATAAAATGTATGTATGTAAATGTATAAAAATGTATGTATGTAAACAATAAACGTTATATTCACACACCCCTCCCCCAATCCCTCTGTCCCCCAAAGTAAAGTGTGACAGTATAACGTGACTAATGCGACGTAACCGGAAATTCCAAAAATTTATTGTCGCTATATGGGTCATAAAACAGTGTTAACAAGCAGTACATTTCTCAATTCTGGTTCTTAAACCTAACAAGGCCAATTAAAATTTGAGTTTTGCTTTTGACTGATATTGCATTTAAAGCCTTTCTAACTGTCCTAGTTCCACCGTACCTTACTTTACCAACTTGTTTAAACATGTGTACTGTTGTGGTTAATTGTTTATGTCTGATAATTTTTGTTTTCCCTTTGTTTTTGTACTGTATGCTAATGAAGTTTAAATGAGGAAAAACTAAAAATTACCTGAAATGAAAAATTAACTACAATATTTACATTGTATACATTTTCAAATTTCAGGTACATATGGTAAGTTAAGTGATGAACAATAAGATGAACTATTGGGATGTGCACAACAGTCTCATCCTAATATTGGTATAAGGATGGTTAAAGGCTTATTACAGAGTAATGGGCATCATGTGCAAAGCGAGAGGAAAAACACGTGCGGGTCGTTATCTAGTCGGGGAAGAGTGGACGTGTTTAATGCTGGTGGTTTTGCCGAGGAAAAGTCGGTCGATCCTAGGGCCAGGAGAGATTCGTCCAGCGAGCCTGCACTTTCAATTTTCTTCAGAATTTCTTCCAAACCTCCATCGCTCGCTAGTGACTTTGTAGTGATGGGGTCGCTCGCACCAGTAGCATCTCCTGGCGAGGGTTTTTCGTTGACAACCTTTTGCAACTTTTTCAGTACCGCTTCCAGAATGCAATTCTGCCCTATGCTCAGCCCCAATTTCTCTAAATCTGTCGGAGTGAGGAGCTGTAGGGCTTCCTCGGTATCGAGATCCTCTTTGTTGAGGATATCCACACTCGTTTCTGTAAGTTTAGTAGCCGTACACCACGTGTCAAAGTTAAAGCTCGCCATAATTATTCGCACAGACAAGAAAAGCTTACAATCGTGTTTAACGCATTAGCTGGCTAGAATCGCATAATGATTCACACGTGGCAGCAACTTACGTATATACATGGGCTTAGCGCTGAACTTCCGTCACATGTATTTAATCCTGATAAACAGGTTTATCACTCACATAAGGCAGTCGTTTTTAAGGACAGATCCCATTGGAGTTATGTAGCGATGGAGGGATGCAGTAAGAAGACGCCGATACAATGTCCAATCTCCTCTGGCTCTTTGTCACATGGATGGAAATCATAAATTGATAATGTGAACATGGATTCTCTAATTATTTATGGCGTGGCGGGGAAGACAAAATGGGGGGTTAGTCTCAAGAATTTCAGAGAAGGTCTGATGTTAGGGGAAGGGGGGTACCTTTTTTATATTTTTCCCCTTGAACCCTCCACGAAATGACTGATTGAAAATACTGGGTTAATATCATCACAACATCGACTATAATTGTCATTGTATATTGTGTCGCTGTTTTACTTTTCTAAATTGAGTCCAGTTTCTTAAAAAGTAAGGTCTTTGTGGAAATACTGATAGTCGCTTAATTTATCTTACTGCTCTTTTGTATTCTTTCAAGGTGGAGAATTGTTGTCCATGCTGGAGTAGATGGCTATTCCAGAATACGCGTGTTAAGCCATCTGACACCAATAGAGCAGTAACTGTGTTAAGCTTGTTTCTTGATGCAGTAAATGAATATGGCCTACCATCACGTGTTCGCTCGGACAAGGGTGGTGAGAATGTGGACGTTTCCTGGTATATGCGAACAATTCCACAAAGGGGTCCCGGGAGAGGCAGTATGATAACAGGTACGACTTGCACATGTTCAATGTCGATATATATCAATCTGTTAACTATTTCTTTCTTTCAGGAAAAAGCACTCATAACCAGCGCATCAAAAGACTATGGAGAGATGTGTTTGCTGAATGCATATCATTGTCTCACGGCAGTGGGCAGTTTTGATGCGTCTGTCCGTGAAAGACAGAAAAACTTAAGCATACAAGTGGGCACTCGTTTGCCTTTGCCTTCTGCCTACCACGTTATATATGGACACCTGTATTTGACGTTTGCTTAATTTTGCTGTGTTAAGTCCACTGCGAAGACAGGCTGAAGCGAAAACAACGATTTCACCCTTTTACCTTGCAAGCTTGCTATCTGCGCTTTGTTTACGATTGAGACTAAATGATTTGAGTGAAAATGTGCTTTTTTCGTAATAATCTTTGACATATTGGCTTTTCTATAGTATTATGGTTTTGTTTTTTTTTACCTTCGACTATTTCAGCTACACACATACGTACTGTGCTTACAGGTAATTACGCCCCTGAAAACAAATTGCTACAGGCACTCCAGCTCAATGAATGGGTTGAGTCAATTTGGTAGCAATTTGAGATGTATTAAGTTCTATATACGATGGAAAGATTTATCAGTTCTTTCTAATGCTTGTGATAGTAGATACACTTATTAAGCATAGTTCTCAACTGTTTGAAAGTCTAGTTAAATCAATCTTCTGGGGATGGGGGAAAATGAGAAAACTAAAAAGAACATCAACAGTAATTAGCAAAGCATGACGAAAAGCGCCGAAAACAAAACCGCAACTTTATCTTGTGAACCTCTTTTGATAGCATAATAGTACTTTAGAATAATTCTGACCTGAATAAAAAATTTGCACTTAAAATGAGTAAACCTATACCCCTGGGCATATAGGCATTAGCACTCCTTTTCATTAAGGTGTACCACTCTTCATCTTTACAGCATGCATCACATAGTCGACAGTGTTCTGGATAATACTGCACTACGCCACTGTCCTTGGCATAAATTCCAGCCGATAGGTACTCAAACTTCCTTCTGCACTTGGGACAAATTTCCTCCGTTGCTTTTCTTACACTGTTATTGTTTTTAAGTAGTGTAATATCATCTTTCTCACTCGAAGGCGGGACTGGGATCACATAGCCAAGGCTGTAATAATGTTCCTCATCCTAGCAGTGCCGTTTTGTTTTTTTCCATTCCTCAAATTAATTGGGGATCATTTCAGGGTCAATGCGAAGAAAAATGGGGATCATTTTGGGGTTGGGGGTCATTTCGGGGTCTGTACAGATCCTCTTGCC